AATCAGAGAGGTACATAGTTGTATAATAGATAGATGTAGTCCGCGAACACTCAGATGTGGAATATAAATGTCAAAGTACCTCCCTAGCTTTTAGACATCATCAAGCAAAGGAGAAGAGACCTTAACAATATAATATTGTTTCCTTGATCCTATTCTACTTTACCAACTTTACTTTGCTCTTAGTAGTCATAAACACAACAAGTGTAATCTGTGCCTTCTTAGACAATCTCCGTCTACAGAAACGAATCTTGATTGTCTTAGACAACTCTGCTGTCTATCAGGTTGTCTCTGCCTAACAGGAATTCAATTGGGATTGACTGCTTGGATGGTTTAATTTGTAGTATTCCAGAATGCCTTGAAGCAGTAACTACAGCAGGTGGTATGGCTACACCATACTAGAATAGGAAAATCATGTGCTTTCTGATCACTCTTTTCCTCATACCAAAATTGGCAATCCGATTGGCTGCTCTCTGGTAGCTTGTGGCGTCAGTCCGTCAAATTAGCGGTCTTCCGATCACTTCCCCCCCCCACCCTCGTACTAGTACTAGTACAATGCACTCGAGCACAGTACGAGTAGATCACCGGACCTTGGCCGCCATCTACCCTGCTGTTGTATAATACCGGTAGGAGTATTTCTCACAAGAGTTATGATATCACTTGAATTCTCTCTCAAAATAGCTTACCCATTTCCCCCACCCCTTATACCTTGCAGCAGCCACCTAATACCAAAAGACCAGAGATCACACAACAAAACAATATGAGATTCACATGCCTAAAAGGACCATACTACTTTTGTGCCTAATATCGTACATTTATACAGAACTCCGTCCATAGCTTCACTTCCCCCTCCCCTTGCCCGATTTCCCTCCCCTCCTCTGACTCTCCTTGTTACCCTCCCTCTCCTTTCTCCTCTTCGCTTTCCCCATCTTTACCTTGGCCCGATCCTGCCGCCTCTCGCTCTTTGTCAAATATCGGAATTTCTTTTTCTTCTCTCTAGGTCCATTCCTCTGCCTAGCTTCCTTCTTCTTCTTCAACCTCTCTTCCTCCTTCTCCCTCTCTTCTCGCTTATGAATTCTTTCGGCAATAACCTCTTCGTCCTCACTTTCCTCCTTCCCTAAATCCATTGCTTCAACCGTAACCGTAGTGTATTTTCCCTCGTCAACATATTCATCTTCCCCGTCAACGGGTTGAATATTGCCATCCTCCTCCTCGCTCCCGCCATCGCTTATGCCGTCCCATTCGGCTTCTCCATTACTACTGCTTTCAATATCGCCACCTTCGAGCGCGGCTTTTCGAGAGAATTCTTGGACAGCGGTGACGTGCGCACTTAATTCTTGCTTGCGAGACTCCCGTAGCTACGAATCATTAGCCCAGATCCCCACTAAATTTACAACAAGAAAATACTTTTCGCCGGTCTTCTAATCGCTCCGCTCTCGCGGCCTTCTCAGCTTCCTCCCTAGCTTTTTTGGCCCGAGCAAGTTTTCCTATGGCTGTTAGTTTGTGCTCCTGGGGACAAGAGGGAGAGGAAGGTACGTTTGTGAAACCCAGTGAGGTATTCTCGCCGCTGTTCCGCATCGAAAGAAATTTCCTCCCCTACCGGGCGTTTTCGTTTCCCTAAGGGCGCCATTTGATGCGGTAGGTAGGTATGATACTGGGAGGTGAGAATCAAATTTAAGTTCGCGAGGTTGCAGCCGAAAGGATCAGGGAAGGAGGGTAACTGGTCCCGTGATCTCTTGGCGGAGTCCGTGACCACGCGGGCTCTCTATGATACGGTATCATTGGTTTTCCTAATTGACGGTTGACAGGTTGCCGAGCGAGGCCCTATGACGCACAGCGGGGTTAAATCAGGAACAATATATGGCTAACCCAACATGGGGATAGCGCTTACGCACAGATGAGAATGAAGCTCTTTGCTGGTATGATAGACTATTATAAATGCTTCCAAGCCCGCAAAACACCCACAATGGGGGCCAACCATCCAAGGCCTTGTATGTTGCGATCCCCCTGGACATGATTTCGAACGGACTCCAAGGCCTGTTGACTCTCTGGACGTTAGCGTGAGGCAGAGAAGCAGTATCACATTATCTATCTTTAACGTCTCTATACCACTATCCGATAAGACCCTCGGAAACTCGACAATTCAGCATTCCCAATGACCCCCGGTTCCCTCAGGACGGCCAGGGTTATCTCAGCTACGGTCTGCTGGCGACATCTCAAGTTCAAATCCCCACCCAACCCCACTACCCGCAGCACGGCCGGCAGCTCTGATCTCTCAAACAGTCCTGAACCATCAGCAAATACCCATCATTACGCAGCCTAAAAACAGTCATGACACAATACTAGCCCGATGCTAGGCACTTGTCTAGCACCTCAAGCCAACCTTCAAGCACAAGATAGCAATATGCAATATCCGGCCTCACCGGTCACTCGGTACAGCCAACATTCCGCGTCTGACCGAAGACATAAGGCCCCACAGATAAAACTCCGAAAGGAAATATAGTAAATCCAGTACGCCCAAAGATGCACAGAAAGCCCCCCGAATGAACCGACGGTGTATCCGTAGCCCAACAACTAGTTTACGCAATGGCCTAACCAAAAACCGGCCCATAAGTGGAGTTTGTTCGTATCACAGCCACCGGTTTTCACTTCTGCAGGATGTCCACCCAGGAGCACTGAGTTCATAAGAGATACGTAGCCCCTCCTGTTCTTCCCTATTTAAACCGCTCTTCCCTCCCTTTCCCCCATGCCTGGGTCTCCCTCTCCCACCCTCCTCCCTCACTTCATTTCTTCATCTTCCATAATATTTCCTATCCTTCTTCAAATTCGCATTTATCTATAAGTCAAAGGCATTTAAGGAAACATCAAAGCTACCCACACAATGTTATAAACTTCTAACCCTACTTCAAACTACCCCTCCTTGAGTCTTTAGGTTCTATTGTCCGTAACGGCAAGCCTTATGAAGACTCACCCCACAATCACTCAAGGTATCATCGATTAAACCCTCCTGATATGGTTTGTAGGGTGAAGCCAGTCATCTGATCAAAAACCATATCTTAGAGAACATTACCTCCCACAGCCCCTACGGCTAAGGGAAGGGCCAATAAATTGCCCTTCTCTCGAAGTCGTTTACGTATGCATCTTGACATCCCCTCTTCCTCTTTCCCGAGCTTATCTACTTGGACTTTCCCAGATTACCTGAAAGTGAGACTGGACCCCCCACCACTATGTCTAGGAAAATTCCCACATGTACATTTCGTTGTCTGCCGGGACAATGGGGCACGATCTCTGCACTATAACGAGTCACTTGTAATTGATGATGATTATGGCAACTGTTTTTGTAAAACATGTGGGCAGTAATTCTAGGCACAGGGTGAGGAGAGGTGAGGGCATTTTAGGTGGGTGACGTTGGCAGAATGTAGCATACTTGGAACAAGAGCTCATTAGATAGTCACGATTTTATGCTATAGACTATGTATCACTAGGATAATCGAAGCTGGAACTTATGGTCCTTGGCATGCACTGGTTGCAGGTTCTCAGTGGCTACAAAGAGCTGCAAGCCCTCTCGAAGTCAAGACAAGACAGAGCTGTCAAAGCAGTATAATATCTATCCGCTCATATTCAGCGTCATATAAGTGTACTTCTCTTCCCCTTTCACCTGTGTACAGTGCCACTCTTACCACTCTGCACCTTCCACACCGAGAACTCCCTAGCCCCAACCTCTACCATTACTTCAGACCCCAAGGCCGCAGTAAGTCAAGATAGTCAAACCCATCGAAATTCCGTGAGCCTAAACAAGGCTGGGATGCATCGCAAGAAAGTTCTAGCCTAATCAATACTATTCCAAGCACCCAGGCACCTCGTATCCGTAGGAATATATACCACCCCCCCCCACTCTAACGCTGTAGTCCACCACACACGAAGTAAACACCGCCGGGCACCAACAGCCCACCACCCAATGCCAACAGTATGCCAGGCCTGCAAGACACCGGAGCACAAACTCGCACATAACACATACAAAAAACACGACGACCACCGGAGCACAGTATTATACTCACGCTTGATGCCTGAAAACGATTATCTGAGGCTACGCAAAGGTGCTATAGTAACAATGCGATCTGCGAGCCTTTGATCTTCCCAATAGGAGAATTCGGTTCCCTCTTCATTTAGGCTCCCCGCTGAATTATTGGTTAGAGTAGAGCATGTGGAGGTTAGAGGAGGGGGGCGGGGGGTTGTGGGGGGCTGTTTGCGGGTTCGAGTGCGCTGCTTGGGAAGGTGCTGTTTGGCTTTACTGGTGGTTTACGAGCCTATCTGTGGCTTCTAGATAGATCGTGGAGTTGCGGGTCTCTTCATACGACAGTGACTCATTCGTCAGCTCAGCTGAACTTAAGTTCCGGCCCTGGAATCGTATATTGTTTAAGCCTCTCGAAACCAGGTGAGCCATGGAAGGTGTCGACTAAAGTTTTTTTTTTTTGCTATGATAAAGTGCTGTTGCCCTAGACCCATAGACTATACCCCCAATACTGTGCGTTAATGGATGACTCCATTATAAGTCGGACGTTTATGATAAAACCAATTTCCCCAAACTCCAGCTCTCGAAAGTCCAATGAATAAGGGTTGCCTCCGTATGTTCAGGAATTATCACTCGGTTTCGGATGGGTCGAAATACACTAGTAGACTTGAGAACAAGGCGGTAAGACAGACTACTAGCAGGACTCTTTAAACAATTTCCTTCACACTACCAATACTATAAAGACATCTCTCTCAGAGCCTGACTCTTATCTGATAACAGAGCACTTCCAAGACCAGGCCAGTGCCATAACAATCTTATTATGTAACCAAACCTCTGCGGAAAACCCCCCACACCCACAACACCTTCATGAGGGTTCATCCATAAAAATCCCTTGGCGGCAACAACCATCCCTGCATAAGAGCCGCAACAACTTTGATTTTTCTTAAGAAAAGAAAACTAGCCTCAAACTCAGATCTTCACCACGTTACCAGATAATCCCATCCCCTGATATATCCGGTTCGGAGAAATGGAGGATCCCCCGCCGGAAGCAGCTGGGCGAAGGGAAGTCAGGGTGAAGGAGGATAGAAAGAAAAAGCGGAAAAGGGAAAAGGTAGAGGTTGAGGGTGTAGAGGAGAAATCGAGTGAGAAGAGGCTCAAGAAAGAAAAGAAGGAGAGGAAGGAGAGGAAGGAAAATGGGAAGAACGAAAAGGAGAAGAAGAAGCGCAGGAAATCTAATGTTGAAGTCAAGGAGGAAACTGTGGCCGAAAACGACGCCGGAGCCAAAGTGCAAATTGAAGACGAGGAGGAAATGGAGACTGAACAGCCTACGCCGCCCATCGAAGAACCCTCTCAGCTAAAGAAAAAAGAAAAGAAGAAACCAAAGCCCGAAGTCGGCCCAGAGTCTACAGAAGCGTCAGAACCAGTTCCGCCGCCAAAGCACCTGGCAATTCTCGAAAAACTCCGGAAGGTTAAGGAGAAAGTTTCCTCAGCTTCAACTTCCACCACCACCCCCGCAGACACAGCTGCCAAAGATTCAGAGGCTGGGGTCAATGGCGAGGAGAAAGTACAACTCCCAGCCCCGGCAGGCCTCGAACCCATCCCCCAACCCCCGCTCACAAAGGCTGCAAAACCGCAAATCCCACTATCATCCGCGCTCCCCCAATGGCTCGCCAACCCAATCACCGTCGACCCCTCCAGGACTCAACCATTCTCCGAAATAACATGTGTATCACAAAAGCTCCACTCCCGCCTCTCAGCGCTCTCAATGACAAGCGCATTCCCCGTTCAATCTGCTGTCATCCCACTGCTCCTATCCCCCGATTCCGGGGATATATGTATTTCCGCCGCAACAGGGTCTGGCAAGACGTTAGCTTACGTACTCCCGATTGTGCAAGCATTGTCGACTCGCGTGGTCACCCGTCTGCGTGCGGTGATAGTAGTACCGACGAGAGAACTCGTCTCACAGGTACACTCCGTTGCGTGCTCGCTGTCTACAGGCAACAGTTTAAAAATTGGAACGGCGGTGGGTTCGAAAGCGTTGCCGCTTGAACAAGCACAGTTAGTCGGCGAGGGTGGTAACGGTGGGAGTAAGATTGATGTGTTGGTGTGCACGCCCGGGAGATTGGTTGAGCATATCAAGACTACAAAAGGGTTTACTCTCAAATTTCTAAGGTGGCTTGTCATCGACGAGGCGGATAGACTTCTTGCGCAAAGTTTTCAGGAATGGGTGTCTACGCTCATCGGCGAGATTGAGAGGGTGGATGTCAGTGCGCAGGAAGAGAAGTTTAACAGTGTGCTCGAGGACTTGGGCATCCGCCTGAAACCCCCCGGAAGTAGGGTCCGCAAGGTCGTCCTAAGCGCAACAATGACCCGCGATGCCGGCAAGCTTTCTGATCTGAAACTGCGTAAGCCGAGTATGATCGCCGTCGAATCTGAACCTCTTCCCACACCAGACGACAACACCAAAGTGGGCAAGGAAGAGCAAGACCTCCCAGACGAAACCTTCACTCTCCCCCCTACGCTCCAAGAACTCCTCCTTCCGATCCCAGACACAAGCCTAAAACCTCTACACCTACTAACCTACCTCCAAACTCTCCCGCTACCAACCCCACAGACAATAATATTCACCTCCTCAAACTCAACAGCAACTCGTCTTTCCACCCTCCTATCCACCTTCTCTTCCCACCCCGCCGCCCCACCGCCTGCCACCAGCTGGATCACAAAATGCATAACCTCCGAAACACCCCGGAAGCAGCGCGCCCGCTACATCCATGCCTTCACAAAGGGTGAAGCGGGCATACTTGTGTGTTCTGACCTTGTTGCCAGAGGACTGGATATCGAGAACGTGGCGATCGTCATAAACTATGAGGTCCCGGCGAGCGTGAGGGGGTACGTGCATCGGGTTGGGAGGACCGCACGAGCAGGGAGAAACGGCGTGGCGGTGTCATTGGTTGGGGAGAAGGAGGCGGGGTGGTTTTGGGCGAAGGTTGGGGGTAGGGGTGTCGTTAGGAGTGGGGGCACGATTGAGAAGAGGAGGTTGGAGGTCCCGGCTGAGGGTGTGGGGTGGAGGGGGGCTTATGAGGAGGTTTTGTTTGGGTGATCCCGTTCGTATGTGGTGGTGGTGGTTGTGGTGGAAATGTATCGTATGATATGTAGCGGGTAATGAAAGTATTATAGCTGGTTGGATACAAAAAAAAGTACCGTACAGTCCCTCCCCAGCAACGTTGGCGAGAATCCGGGATATATACCTGGTAAGCATATTTAATGAAAACAAGTACCGGCTGTGCACCCCCCTATCCCATCCACCAATGCGATGCTAAAAACTACCGTACTTGAAGAGAGCCTTCCATGCAACCCCGTACAAGCTATTGCTAGATGTGATGGCGTAGCAGTCTCACAAACACTTCTGCGGATGGACTGTCACTTCACACTGGACAGATAAGATATACTCATACCTAAAATCCTCAAGACTTCACACCCTGCAGATCACGCCAAGTCAATAGATATCATACCCATCTTGCACAAGAAAAAGAAAAAGAAAAACCTCATGGACGAAAAGATATGAATGTAAAGAGTCCTAAATTACCTTACATAACGCAACATAACCCGCGACGTAATGCAATGTAATGAAACGCCTCCCATCTCGAGAATCAGGTTATGAAAAGGAACAGAGAAGGCATGAAAAGAAATGTAATTTTACACTGCGTTTATAATATAAGGGACAGGGTAGTATCAAGCCTTCTCACAAATGAGACAGAAGGGCGGATCTAACCCGTCTGTCAATCATAACCAAACCAAGCTAAACTCAACTAGACCCTCTCCGCCTCCAAGGTCAAGTTTTCCAGTTTCTTCTTAGTAGCTTTCACGAGAGCGTCCCTGCATAATTCATCAGCAACCATTACCCATCATGCCAAAGACAGGATGGGAAAGACATACTCCCTTTCCAACAACTCTCTTAAAATCCGTAATTTGCCCATTCTAACCTCTTCCGGCACGTCCTCACCCCTGCCAACAACCGTCTTCATTCCCCTACGGCCCTCGCCGGGGCTCGCTCCGTCTTCGCCAACAAGAGGACACAATTCTCCCGCCAAGCGAGCGACAATCTCCCTTCTTCCAGCCAGCGTATTCGAATCCTTTTCCGCCTCCTCCGCCCCCTCCCTCTCCTCCTCCTCCTCCTGCTCCTTTTCCGCGCCACCACCAATCTTCTCTTCTACTTTGGCGACTTCGCGAAACCATTTCTTCTCCGCATCGCCGATTCCAAGCTCGTTCTTGACGATGAGGATTCTGAGAACCCCATCCGCGCGCGCTTGTAGTTCCTCCTGGCGCGTCAGGAAGCGGTCTAGTCGGGCACGTACATCCCTGTTCTGTATGCGCGTAAGGATTTCACTGGCTTTGTGTATACTTTCTAGTTGCTTGCGGAATTCGATGCGCTGGGCTGTTGCCCGATCGTACATTTCTTGCGCAATTTCCATTATGCGGTCGTATTCCATTTTGAGCGTATCGCGCGCAGCGCGCAGGAGGTCGTTTGTCTCGGTGGTGAAGTGGATGGGGGACGCTAGGAGTTTTTTGTGTTGTGGGTTGGTGGGCTTTAAGAGGTTGTGGAGAGCGCTAGGGATTGTTAGCTCTGGCGGGGATGTGAAGTGGGATGTTAACAGGGACAAGCGGTGTTGGTGGCCACAATGGGCTGGAGATTGGGTGAGGGAGAGTTGGCTGGTGTGTACGAGGGAGCGGGTGGTGGTTATCGATGATGCGCGTGGGTCGACTCCAGAGGCGCGGCCTTGCACGTCCTCGAATTCGACGCTTTGGGAGTTGGTCTTTGTGGCAGCGATAAGGAGGTAGCCGAGATAAGCTTCATAGACTGCTACGCTCCCAATCATAGGCCTTGCAAGGGACTGAGGTTTGTTGGCGTTCTGGATTGGCTTGTAGACTGTAGATTGCGGATTTTTCTCCATGGATTTGGCAACAAACCCGTCGTCTTCATCACCGTCCAGGACCGTAGCTAGCTTGCTCAACCACGGCTTCATCGAGATTGCTGCCACACCGAGATTGTGATTGATATACCACACCTGATTAGACTGTGGATCGCGGGAGAAGACTGGCCAGCTAATTCCCGAACAACTGCTCCCTGGCGGAAAGCCGAGATCTATGGTCTCGTATCCCGAGATGACCGGGAGGCCCTGTGTCGATTGATCCGATTCATCTTCCGCCCCTTTACGTCTAATCCTCTTGTCAACCCATTTGGCCTTCAGTGACTCAGGCTCCATGCAAATATCGACTTTTCCATTTGAGAACAAAATACCAATAACACCAACAGGATGATGCTCGATATGGAAGATGTCGCAGCCGTACTCATCACTAGAGAGCTCTGGTGGCGCTGGCTGGAACAAAAAAGGACCTTGTAACTGCGGTATAGGACCAACAATTCCAGGACGAACCAAACATGTCAACGCCTTTTTCCGTGGGGATACGGTAGACCCAATATATACCGCGCCAATATTGGCCTCTTGGTTCAAGACATGATTAATCCACTTGGTCTGCTGGCGAAGAACCAACTTTTCTTCCGTTGTAACATTGCCCTCAAGGTTCTCAAGGCCCCAACTAATGTCGAGCGAAAGGCTTTGAAGATACTCACGAGGAGCCTTCCAGCGGCTTGGAACCACGGGTGTAAGTGCGTAGACATCTCCACCCCTCATGAGAATATATAGAGTAAATGGCCTCCAACCTTGATAACCATCGCCAAAACAGCAGGAGGCCGCCTCCATTTCTTCTCCATCGGCAAAGAAACCGCCGACATGACGTGCGCGCCCGCCCAACGCATGAAGATCGAATGTTTGATCTGGTATCTCGAACGTAAAATCCTGACCAATTGTAAAATCGTAGGTTCTACACCTTTAATAAGTACGGTATACCGACAGCCGTAGAGCAGGAAATGAGCAAACCTGACTATACTCTCAGAAGTCAAAACCACTAACGAGGCACCCTCGACTCCAAGAGGATGCCATATCGCCCGGACAATTCGAGAACCCTTCTCAGAGTTATGATAGTTTGGCCCGACCATGTTAAAACTAGAATCGGACAGTCAGCACCAAAAATAGATGCAATTCCCGGGAAGCTCACGCAGGAACCCTCAGTTTTGAGCCATCCATTCTCGCCAGGCCCTCCGCCGGAAGCACACACACCGCAAGCTCTTTCTCGCCGATGATAGCTAAAAGAAGTCCATCTCGACTGATTTCCAGCTGATGAATTTCGAAATCCAGCTCCGGTAAATCTAACATCTGCCATCTTCCGTTAGCAGCCTCCCACCAACCCAGACCCCATCACATTCGGGCACAAACTTTGTATTCTCTATGCCCACCCCCCCGAATACCAGCCCTAGGGGTATGCCGGGCTTTCAAATCCTGAAGATCAGCACAGCGAACTTCATTCCCCCTCCCAACAAATATTTCCGTCCCTCTATTGGCCATCACCCTCATAGGCCCAACCGCAGTCCCCTCATCCTCGGTGGTAACAAGCGAAGGATAAGAGGTCGGATTTTCTGGGGTCTTGGTGAAGAGATCATAGCCGGTAGAAGGGCGCGACAGCCACGGCAAGCGGTCATCGTCGACGGTGGCCATCGTATTTGCGGATACCTGGTCGAATTCTATAGCTCAGAATCTTATATGATAGGTGTAGCTCTGTGGAGTTTGTTGTGTAAGGGAAGGTGTGTCCCGCGTCGCGGTGCAGTAGTGGTGTTAGGTGGGTAAGCGGGCAAGTCGAGGGTTGGGTTGACGCGACCCTTTCTACTCGTACCGGGCGGATAAATTCCTTGTCGGGCGAACTGACAGGAACCTGTGCTAAGTTGGCTTAGATGTGATAGGATACCGTATTCAGGCATCTCTAACGCAGGCCTTAAATTTACCTCAGCCCACCTTGGGCGCAACCCTCGCAGAATTGAACAGTGGGTATGCATGAGATTCCAATACCGGTAATAACATCATCAAATTTACAGCAAAGGTTACTTCATTTTGTTTATGAGAGAATCCGACAATAACATCAATAAATTCACCATTACCGCAACTTCCCTTACGCCGGGTCCTGTGCCTACCAGTAATCGGTTACAGCATTCTCAACATAGCCGCGATCCCCTTGCCCCGCAATGATAGACGCCAGAGCTTGAAGGGGTAAGCAAGTTAGGGATCTCACTCACTATACGTCTCAGTCAGCATGATAGCCGCTGGGCAATTGCCGTAGCGTCTCTCGAAAACTTCTTAATGTCGAACTGTAGGGGTAACTTAGCTATTGTGTGGTATGATAGGTAAAAGCCAACCCTCACCAAATATCACTCGTTATACATCATTCAACAGTTCAATGCATGGATCTAAAATGATGAAACCGGGGTTTGAGGTCGCAGGTCGGAGGGCAGAAACGCGGGTTTCAACAAAACTTGCCGTTTTGACACAGCACTGCACTAAAGGGTGGTTACTGGGAGACTTAAGGTTTGTGAACTCGGCGAAACAAATTGAGATAAAAATTTACATTATCCCTCGAGGCATTTCTGGGGACAATCAGCGAAAGAGGGTACGGTACGAGTGGCTTGTAAATGTGGCTGTAGGCGTTCCGAAACGTGCGTTAACGAGAGTTTTTTTCAAACCGCCAGAGCCTCATGATTGCAACCAACGACCAATGGAAAGATTGGCCACGAGCGCGGCACATACAACGTGGAATTCTCGAAAGACCCCAATGTCCATTTTTTTCCGTTTGAAGCAACGAGGATAATGTTTTTGTAAACAACTCATTGGCAATTCATAAAGTAGATGGGTGTGGTCGATTTGTGTCACGTGCTCAGATAAGGGATGTGACAAATAAATCTATCAAGCGCCCAAGTATTCGTATGCTTTCGCACGAAGAAAGCCGCTGATAATGCCATGTCCCCCAGAAGTGACGGGCCGTTCTCAATGGGTGAGCCCACCGGCCACCAGAAGTTTCAGAAAAGTCTGGTAATGTTTTTGATAGCACAATTTGGCATGAGGATTTAGAGTGAGCTTAAAAATACTGCTCGAGACTTTGCATAGGATTTCCATGGCAACCATCTCAGTATGAGAACTTCATTCAGCAGAACATAAAAAAATTTGGGCAATTTTGCATGCCAAGTTCTCTGTGACCCTTCTCCATCCGCTTACCGCTTGAAGAGTAAAATTTGTTATATGATACGCTTTTGTGGCGGTTGGCTAAACTTGTGCACTTTGTATGGGAACTTGGGAGGGAGTCAGTTTCAAGCTCTTGCTGGTATCAAATCAGTTTTTTTGTGCAGATTTCTCTCTACTAAAATACCCCAAGATTGACCCGAACTATAACTTCTTTCTCCCTTGGCGTGACTGTTGGTAATACTTCTGAAAACTGTGGCTGGATATTCTGATTACCACATGGAAGTTGCTAGATCTGTACCGAAGAGCTCATGGGCGGTTGTTGGATCCAGCAACCCGTAGATTCCCTTCTCACATCTCAACAAACAGAATAGACGCCGGACAAAAGTTTAACAGACAAAACACAGCTATTCACATCCAACCAACCAGACAGAGATGTAAAACTTTTCTCCTATACTAGCCAAATTTGTTTTGTTTATCCTAGGCAACTTCACTCAAGTGCACCATCCGTCTTGCGAACTCTGTGCCCCCCCTTTCCAGATCTGAGCTTCTTGAATCTGACCACAGGTGAAGTATCTTTGGCATACTGCTACTTTACAGCTTGGCGAAGAATCGGGTCCGATGTTAGTTGGCGCTCGGGGGCTGGCCTGGTTGCACTACTCGAGTAAATGACATACCGGTATCGTAGAAGACGGGTGAAAGCGTCTGAAAAATACTTCGGACACCCCCCTCAAGAAACTGAATTCTGCACTAACCTATCAAAACCCTCACTCGACTGGAGCCGATATCCCCGTGTTGGATGTCGTCATCCAGTCTACCACCCGTTGTATCCCAGCGATATTTATATGCTGTAGTATGACATCTCTGAGAGAGTTTTTTATGTATTTAAGGGGCCCACTCACCCCACCTGGAAAGAGGGTCACAACTAAGATTGGTTCCAGTATACCTCTGTCTGTTCACCGTTTTCTGATAATATTACAACAACATCCTGTGTCGGGAGTATTGCTTCGATGTAACGGAGGCCCTGTTTGGCACGCAACTATAAAAAAAAAAAAAGCTCTCTCCTCAGGATAAGACCCTGAGCTCTTAAGCAAAATAGCTAAATAGCTGATACGGTATCATAGTGCAGCCAGGAGGGCCTGCCGGTAAACCTAAGGTATGGCATTTTAATATGCATGCCAAACAAGCCTCCATTTTTCTTTTTAATTTTTATGGAGGAAAAATGGTATAAAAGTCTGAAAAATGGCATATCTCTTGCTTGCCAAATAGAGCCGGAAGTAAGTTCGGCGAGGAAGGTTGGGATTCATTTGACTATATATAGGTGCCTCCTGTGGATATAAACACCGCCGCCTTGGGTACGGGTGACAAGAGGAGAATACGAAATCAATACCTCTCACTGCTAATCGATGCTGCCCCATAGCCCTCATGTTCCCCAGCATTTGCTTTCTTTTTATTTTAACCTCTCGTTCCGCGCACCTCACCTCCAACACACTGGGGGCATTCTCTACAATATTTAGCGCTTATCGTAGGCAGATAATAGAGCCAATTTGGGTGGCGCTTTATGACCTTCATGCTATCGACTTTCCACTTTCATTGCCTTTTTATCTCGAACGGACCAGTTAACCTAGTTTACTATTCGTTAGGCTGGGGTGGACTAGACCGGCTCGGTCTCGCTAGGTTCACCGATATCAGATTGTAGCGACAACCAGAGGGAGTCAATGTGACAACCAGTGAAAGCTAAGCTACAGGTAGAGGATAACTAAGGATCCACTAGGCAACAATATTCCATCTTCCGACGGGGGGGGCAAGATGAGAGAAACAACACCCGGGACAGACTGGGCCATAAACAAACTAAAACTTCCCGGGCAGAGTCAAGCCATACCCCATGATCGCAACGGTTCAAGTGCTTTAGATATTCACCTTGCTCACCTCTACCATGGCGTCTTCATCATTCATTTAGTTGCAATATTATACTTCCATTTGCCCATTATGTCTTCTCTCCAGTTCCACTGCAAATACCTGATATCACGCAACCGCACCCGTACTTTGCCTCCCTTTTTCTATTTGGTGACTCCGACTGCCCTCAGCCAACGTCCCCAGCACTGCCGGATCATCCATTAGAGTTGTTTCGAGAGTTTTTCCCCCATATGATACAGCGAGGAATTGATAACCTCTGGTCGGGTTCCGGCACGTTCAGAAATTTGCGGGGTAGAATACCCCATGCGGAATTGTAAAGTATCAGGATTATCGAAATGCGGGAAGGTGAGGCATGCCTGTGGTAAGGGAACGTGGTGGGATGAGTATCCAAAACCAATCAAAACCAGTGGTTTTCGAAACGTAGTTACTCACCCATCCTGAGCCTAAAACATACACGAGAAGAACAGAAAGGTCTACACGCAGAGAGAACCTGGAGGAAAATCAGCAGATTTTTTTGCTTCAATTTCTACAACGTAACAGAACATCTGATACTACTGATCTCAATATACTAGAGTATCTTACCTGCCAAGGCAGCGGTTTTGTACGCGAAAGGTAATGTATCATACTGTAGGTTGCAAACCACTCTCATCCACTTCGAATATGGACCCTCCGGAATTATTAGGTGTGGAGATTTGGGATAACAATATACTGCATCATGCTTAAGAAGTAGATACATTGTGGAATTAACCAAATCAATCTGTGCTGCCCTGATGCTTAAAAACCCTTGGTTTCTGTGCTTTTTGCTTACTGTCCCCTCTTCCATGTTCCCCTACTAATAGCGGTTGTATATCGACACTTACTCATGAGTATGTTGGCTTCTCCTAGAGTTCTTGGAAAATCAGAAACCAATTGTCCATTCACACCATAGAATAGTGCTAGTGTTGTCTCTGTGCGGGTGACACTATAGTTGGTGACTCGGGCAGTGTTCCCCCCCCACCCAAGATCAATTGGATCGTTAATCGCCTTACAAATGAAAATGAAATATAACCCGGATTTACTAACAGGAGATTTCATCTCTGAGCCGCTACAGGGTTTCCGCCTGCCCTTGCTCTGGGGCGGCCTGTCTCTGCGGAATAGCGGTCTGTCATAGCTAAACATCGTATTAGAATGCAGAAAAAGTGCTAATATTTGGCTCCTCTATCAAAGTCGGTGAAGTAAGGGATGCGAGCAGCTTGATTAGAAAGTTCGCAGAGACTTTGCAAAGCCGGTTCCAGATCAAGTTGCGGCATAATTTGAAGCTCAGGTTGTCTCTGAAGTATTTGAGATTGACGTGAGGAGTTGGGTCAGGGGTTGGATCAAGTTCTTGGGTCAGGAACTTGGAAGGGGAAGTTGGATATGATTGAATTGCGGGAGTTAAATATAGAAGAATTTTTGTTGATTAGAGGCCTATTTGAGTATGAGTGCCGCGGCTGCCACTTATACAATTGTGTGCCAATTCTTGGGGTAAATATGCCATTGGAGTGGCCTTCCGGGCCCGAAAGAAGTGAGAGTTTGTAGCTGTACTGCAATGTCGTGACCTTTGTGGTATAATACCAAAATTCCGAGGAGTTGAGGACAATGCCGGATCGGTTGTACCCCCTCATCTCTCTAATGAATATCTGTTGAATGATGCTCTGGTTAATTTTTGGCTGTATTTAATAGCTGTCAGCTTTACAAAGGTGATGGCTTTACAAGTATCATGCGGCAACTGAGGTCCTGGAATAGCTATCCCTTCATTTGTATTGGCGGAACCACTGTCGAGGGTGCTTCGTATGATATTTACCCCAAAGGATGACAGCACGAACTGTTCAAGTAAATTCTTAGCAGAGCCTCGGGGTCAGAAACCTTTATTGTCCGGATCACTATTAGAAAATTATAGCCATATGGAAGTGGTATTATATTTGTCTAAGAGGATGAAGGAGGATGCCTCAAAGGGCGCCCAGGACCGCCGAGGACCCCCCTGCCTCAATGGTATCCCCCTAATCACAGCCCAGTATGGTATGATAATAATATCTACGGTATTGCTCGAGTGCCCCCTTACCTTTATTTGCCAGAACTACTTGCGGGGTTCGGACCTGTCAGGCGTATCGCGAGCACCCGCCACTTAGCGAGGGTTGTGGACCGGTGTCAGCACTTTTAAGTTATCCATACAATGTCATTATCATAAGAATTTAATTTAATCGACCCAAAAACCCTTTAACCTATCCAGATACCACTGGCCATGCCCTCCAGGGTGGAGAGTTGAGGATCTCATCCACCGCCTGCCATAAAACCTAATCACTAACAATCCGTATCATATATCATAATAATATTACTATGGTGCAGTATCATATGAACGGCTGCATCACACTAAACCTGGGAGTAGTGGCTGGGCAGTAGGGTAGCGGGCGGGGCAGCTAAGGTAGGGTTTCAGCTAGTCTATCCTTCCACATTCGTGCTTCTCTGAGCTGAGTCAGCCCCAGAAAAATTAACCGACCAAGCTCCCTCCCTCGTACTCGATATCCCTCGCTTCTTACTCTCCACCAAGTACTAAAACGAGAAAAAAAATGACCCGTTACGCTTCTCGCTCCCGTTCGCCATCGCCCCACGCCAAGCGCCGCCGTGACGACAGATATGATCCCAGAGACGTACGTTTTACCCCCTTATCTTTCCCCTGTTGATACCAATGTTTACATCTTACCTTCATTTAGCGGAGAGATTACAGGGACCGCCGTGGCGACAGGCCCGCTGGAAGAAGGCGCGATGGCTATTACGATTCGTGGGATAGGGGCCGTGATAGAGATGATAGAGATAGGGACAGAGATAGGGCGAGAGATAGGTCACGAGGAGGAGACAGAGACAGGGACAGAGATAGGGATAGAGATAGGGACAGGGACAGAGACAGAGATAGGGATCGGGATAGGGATAGAGACCGAAGGCGCTCGCGATCTAGGGATAGGCCTAGACGTGCGGAAAAGGATAGGGAAAGAGATCGGGATAGTCGACGGGACCGGGAGGATGATCGCAGGGGGGATTCACGAGTAAAAGAGGTGAGAACTAGAATTCCTTATCCACCTGATACTCTGTAGGCGACTTACTTACAACAGCTGATGAGAAACAGGCTACTCCCCCGCCTCCTGCGGTAACCGAGGAGGAAAAGATACGGCAGCGTCAGGAGCGCCTGGAAGCGTGGAAGCGCAAACGAGCCGAGGAGGAGGAGGCGAAAAAGAAAGCTTCTCCTGCTGCACTGATATCATCATTGGAGAGGCAGCCTGTTCCTGGAGCGGTGTCCCCTATTGTTGGTTCAAAGGCCGCGGTGGAGCAGGCTCCAAAGTCTGTTGTTGGAATTGTACCTCCATCGTCCGCCTCCACTTCTAGCTTCGCTGCTGCCCGTCCAAAAGCTGACAAAAGTCTATCAGCACCCATCAAACCGCCTTTGGGTACGTATACCCGTTGGGTCCCTAGTTTAATGCCACTGGCCCGTCGCTAATCTGATAGATAGTCTCTACGAATGGCTCGGTATTGCCTACGAATCGACTGGTATCTGCGTTTGGGTTTGAAGGCACAAAGAAGCCTGTCGCCGTAGGAGGAAAGAGAAATCTTGATTTTGGTGAGGAAGAGTCTTCCCGGAAGAAGCTTGAGCGTTTGCCCTCACCACTTCCCAATCAGCCTGGACAGGATGGTGTCCAAGAAGACATTGACGACGATACCGAAATGCAGGACGCTACCGAAGAAGAAACCGCCGCTGCTGCCAGGGCAGCCGCTGCACAGCGGAGCGAGCGCAAAGAGGCCGAGAGAGTCCAACAGGAGGCTATGGAGCTCGACAAACAGAAGGCGATGGAGGAGGACGAGGAGGCTGACCCCCTCGATGCTTTTATGGTTGGGATTGGTGAAAAGATGAGCAAGACAGAAGAAGAGGGTATCGGCAAGTCTCAAATCGAGAGTAAAGAGGAAACGCTTTTTGATGATGATGATGGCTTAAACATTGTTTCGACAGAAGCTGATCCAGATGACATATTGGCAATGGCCGCTAGACTAAAAAAGAGAAAGGAGCTCCCGACAATCGACCATTCGAAGGTCAGATACGATTCATTCCGGAAGAGTTTTTACGTCGAGCCAGCCGAGCTTGCAGACATGACTGAAGCCGAGGTTGATGAACTTCGTCTGGAATTGGACGGCATCAAAATCCGTGGGCAGGACTGTCCGAAGCCGGTCCAGAAATGGAGTCAATGCGGGCTTCCAGCACAGACTTTAAGTGTTATCCGACAACTTAATTACGAGAAGCCAACATCTATTCAGGCACAAGCTATCCCGGCTATCATGTCAGGCAGAAATGTGATTGGCGTTGCAAAGACTGGGTCTGGGAAAACTATCGCATTCCTCTTGCCCATGTTCCGTCACATCAAAGACCAACGTCCATTGGAATCACAGGAAGGCCCTATCTCTTTAATTATGACCCCCACAAGAGAACTTGCTGTTCAGATTTTCAAGGAATGCAAGCCGTTTTTGAAGGCTTTGAATCTTAGAGTAGGTCGGCCATATGTTTCAAACATTTGGAAACCAACTAACGTTCAGCAGGCTGTATGTGCCTATGGTGGTTCACCCATTAAAGATCAGATTGCCGACCTTAAACGTGGAGCAGAAATCATTGTATGCACGCCCGGTAGAATGATCGATCTTCTAGCAGCAAATTCAGGCCGAGTCACCAATTTGAAGCGTGTCACATATATTGTCCTAGATGAAGCGGACCGCATGTTCGACATGGGATTTGAGCCTCAGGTCATGAAGATTATCAGCAATGTCCGTCCTGACAGACAGACGGTCCTATTTTCTGCCACCTTTCCCCGTAACGTGAGCTATCCCCTCACTAACCCTCAGGTATTGCGCTAATGGCATCACAGATGGAAGCGCTTGCTCGCAAAGTATTGCAGCGACCTGTTGAGATAGTAGTAGGTGCACGCAGTGTTGTAGCTCCCGAAGTCACACAAATAGTCGAAGTTCGTGCCGACGATGCTAAATTCCATCGTCTTCTGGAGCTTCTCGGAGAGCTGTATGATAAAGACGATGATGCCCGAACATTGATATTTGTGGACAGACAGGAATCCGCCGACTCACTATTACGGGACTTGATGCGGCGCGGGTACCCTTGTATGTCTATTCACGGCGGGAAAGACCAGATTGATAGAGATTCTACAATTTCAGATTTCAAGAATGGTGTGACCCCTGTCTTAATTGCTACTTCGGTTGCGGCGAGAGGTTTGGACGTCAAGCAGTTGAAGTTGGTAGTTAACTACGATTGCCCGAATCACATGGAGGATTATGTCCATCGGGTTGGGAGAACTGGGCGTGCTGGGAATACTGGCACGGCGGTTACTTTCATCACGGAAGAGCAGGATCGATACGCAGTTGATATTGCAAAGGCTTTAAGACAGAGTGGCCAGAAGGTTCCAGAACCTGTCCAGAGACTCGTCGATGGTATGCATTTTAACCCATCTCCTAGCTCGTCGACTATTGATATGGTACTAATTGGCATAGATTTCAACGAGAAAGTCAAAACAGGCAAAGAAAAGGCTAGCGGCTCAGGTTTTGGTGGGAAGGGTCTGGAAAAACTTGATCAGGAGCGAGACCTCGCCCGTCGTCGTGAACGCAAGCAATTCGCGGAGGAGGGCGACGAGGCAGCCGAAGAGGTTACCGAGGGCATCGACGACATCTCCAAGGCCGCAACCCCGGTTACTGCGGTATCCGCCAGGAAGATCCCCACTGGCCCTGCAGTTGATCTGGCAGATAACATTGTCGTTCACAAGCGGGGGACCTCCAATGCTGATCCCTTGGATAGGGTGAAACAGGCTGCATCTGTGGTCCGCTCGCGCCTTAATGAAGCCGAAAGGCTACGCACAGGGGTTCCCATTGACAACAAGGGGCCAGATGCAGGAGCCTATCACGCAACCTTGGAGATCAACGACTTCCCTCGTAAGTTTTCCATTCAATATATATACCCTCTCTGCCATCTACACGTCCGTCATGCTAACACACGCATAGAAAAAGCACGCTGGGCCGTTACCAATCGTACCAACATTGCGAAAGTGCTGGAAGCTACAGGCACCTCTATCACTACCAAAGGCAGTTACTACCCCGCCGGGAAATCCCCCCAGCCAGGGCAAGACCCCAAGCTGTATATTCTTGTTGAGGGCGATACAGAGCTTGTGGTCACCAACGCCATGAGGGAACTGAAGCGATTACTGGCCGAGGGAACGGCCGCCGCCGTGGACAGTGAAAGTAGAGCTGCGCCGAGCTCGAGATATAGTGTTTTGTAAACACTTGACAGTGTTTGTGGAAAATGGTGAAAAAAGGGTGGGGCGTGGGGTTCCCTTCGTTCATTTGTAGATTTTATTATAGTCTCCCTCCCTGTCTTTCCGTATCGCATTGCGATTACTGTCTAGTCTACCTTGCTTGCACCGTAGCTAGTTACCGCAGGTCCAAGGGAAAAGAGAAAAAAAATTGAGTGTTGCTGGATGTTTACGATAAAAGATGGGAGTGAAAAGACCTAATGCTATATCTTGTTCTATATTCCTCATGCACAAATCATTTGAGAAGCTTATTCCGTAGATTTTGATGCGTGGGATGTGTGTATTTTCCTTGTGAGCATATAAGTAAACTACCGGTATCATAATATTATCATACTTGAGTAGCTGTTTCCGGAATGTCTTATTTCGAAAGGTGCTGCATTACTAGGAGGTGGGGATGCGGCCGGGCAGGGTTGAGGTGGGGGTGAGCTTGGGGGTCGACCTACCGGGAATTTATTTGTGCTGGACGACAGACCTTGGACAATACTAGAGTACGAGTACTTTACGGCCTCTGTTGAACGTTTGACTCATCCCCCCTTGGTTACCACGATAGATGACAGCTTTGCCATTCCCTCCTACATCTCACACATATTAAATCTTAAGCAAAAGCACTTGTGGAGGAAGGTGGGGTCCACGTTTAAAAGCAAGCCGTCGATGCTCTCGGGCCAACCGTGCTGCTTTGTGACGAGACTGGCGCATCTGCCCTCTCCGCCAGGCTTACCGTGGGGCAGTTGTTACTACTGCATGGTATCATACTCGAGTACTGTGCCTGCAGTGGTAGTAGTAGTAGTCTACATGTAGAGGAACCGGTCTCCGTACGACATTGGAATAATTGTTTAGGCACCGGGAATAGTATTGTCCAATCATATCTACGGTGGTTACATGTATCTGAAATAAGGATCTGAAAAAAACCTGTCTCATTTTCAGATACGGCACGATACTTTATGCCAGATCTAGTTATAATAAGTAGGCTATGAGCAGGCAACTTATCATGAACGTGCAATCTGATATCTCACCTAATCAGTTTACCTTCTTCCTTCTGGCCTAGCCAACCCCTATGGTCAGGCAACAGTGCGCTAAATTACTCCTGTGCTCCGGGGGCGAGGGAAGGAAGGAGGAAAGGAGAGGAAAAGTGAAGAAGAAAAAAGCAAAATCATATCAAGTATGTTACCTCTGATCTAGTCGAAAGCGCAAAAGCAAGCTTCCTACTAAGCTGAACATTGCTACAGTACAGTAGGAGCTACCGCAGCTGTTATTGGGCTACCACTAGGGGTCTTAGCCTAGTTGCGAGGGGAGCAATTCGTTTTCAGCTCTTCTACGAGTAAAGCCTCGAGGAGCCTACGGCACATTATCGTAGTAGGAGTAGTAGGGTAGAGTACTGTAGCCCTGTGGGCTACCGGTAGTACTTGTATTATATATTACAGATAGGCCGGTGGGGGGAAGTTGGAAATAAATAGATCCGTGAATGACGGGATCAACGCTTACAGGGTATATGTACCGGTATGGCATGAGCTTAGAGTTGCGAGAACCGTAAAGGAAATTATAGGCTACATACATCATCGGAGCCGGTACTATCATCGACATCTCTAACTTTATTGTGTTCGTATTCTTTGGTCGATGTTAGGTGTGGGGTTTCTCTCATGGTGATCAATCTGACTCTGTAACTTGCTGCAGCAGCTACGGTAGTCTATAAGTAGGATCCTGATGCCAGTGCAGGGAATCACGGTGGATTTTCAGGAACCAATGCTGCTTTTGTCATGGACTTTCCACCTCTATCCCTTTATCTTATGATACCACCGTGTTCTTTCCGTCCCCCTTGGTGCACCCTTCTCGCCACAAAGCGTAACAGCAAAAAGAAAACCCATTGCTACCACCCGCTTACTAATCATCACCCTTCGCTGGGCTTTCAAACCAGCGACAGAGGAAAAGTGTCCTCAACAACGACAGGTGGCTTTTTCCCGGGGGCTCGACATTATAAAGATTTCTTCTTCTCTCTCTCGCGTCAACCAGCTTCCCTTCCCTCTTCCTCCCTTCTTCTTCCCCACACAAAACTCGAAAACCCGTTTCTTCGCTCATTCATTTTTTTCTCTCACCCACTTTCCCCTCTCCTCTTTCCCTTTACCGAAAATCTGTAGACTGGTACTCTCAGAAACAATCATCCGCCAACTGCTACGACCTTTAAGCTTTTTCATCTTTTATCCAAAGGCTGCCCCTGATGTTTGAATCCAAGGGCAAGGGGGTCACTTGGACCACTATACTTTACTTATTTTGCATTTTCCTAGCACCTCTCCTGTTTCTCTCTCCAGCAACCGCTGCGGAGAACGAGACTGACAACTTCGGAACTGTTATCGGTATTGATTTGGGAACTACCTACTCGTAAGGATCCCCCCCCTGAGCTAGCCGAGCTTGTCGATCTGGTCAAGTTAAAAAATTAATCTCTTCAATGCAGATGTGTTGGTGTTATGAAGGGTGGTCGTGTCGAAATCTTGGTCAATGATCAGGGAAATCGTATTACTCCTTCCTATGTCGCTTTCACGCCTGATGAACGTCTTGTCGGTGATGCCGCGAAGAATCAATATGCCTCTAATCCCCAAAACACCATCTTTGACATCAAGTAAGCCGCCCAGTTTCTCGCAATTCCCCAAGTTTGCTTAGTCTTACTGACAATCCCGCTCTAGGCGTCTCATCGGACGTAAGTTCAACGAGAGGGATGTACAGAATGACATGAAGCACTTTCCCTTCAAGGTCATCAACAAGAATGGTCAGCCCGCTGTCCAGGTCGAGGTTGGTGGTGAGGAGAGGGATTTCACTCCCGAGGAGATCTCCGCCATGGTTTTGGGCAAGATGAAGGAGATTGCCGAAGGCTACTTGAGCCAGAAGGTTACACACGCCGTAGTCACTGTCCCCGCCTACTTCAATGACGCACAGCGTCAAGCTACCAAGGATGCTGGTGTCATTGCCGGTCTCAATGTTCTTCGTATTGTTAATGAGCCCACCGCCGCCGCCATCGCCTATGGATTGGACAAGAAGGACGGTGAGCGTCAAATCATTGTCTACGATCTTGGTGGTGGTACTTTCGATGTTTCTCTCCTGTCTATCGACCAGGGCGTTTTCGAGGTCTTGTCCACCGCTGGTGATACTCATCTTGGAGGAGAAGATTTTGATTACCGTGTCATTACCCATTTCGCCAAGCTCTACAACAAGAAGAACAACGTTGACATCACCAAGGACTTGAAGACCATGGGTAAGCTGAAGCGTGAAGTTGAAAAGGCAAAGCGCACTCTTTCTTCCCAGATGTCTGTCCGTATCGAAATCGAGGCCTTCCACGATGGTAAAGACTTTTCCGAGACTCTTACCCGGGCCAAGTTCGAGGAGCTCAACCTTGACTTGTTCAAGAAGACCCTCAAGCCAGTCGAGCAGGTTCTTAAGGATGCCAAGGTCAAAAAGTCTGAGGTTGACGATATCGTTCTCGTTGGCGGTTCCACTCGTATCCCTAAGGTTCAGGCTCTTCTAGAGGAGTTCTTTGGTGGTAAGCAGGCTTCCAAGGGTATCAATCCTGATGAGGCTGTTGCCTATGGCGCCGCTGTCCAGGGTGGTGTCCTATCTGGTGAGGAGGGCACTGAGGATGTCGTTCTCATGGACGTCAACCCATTGACTCTCGGTATCGAGACCACCGGTGGTGTCATGACTAAGCTTATTCCCCGCAACACTGTTATCCCTACCCGCAAGGCTCAGATATTCTCCACTGCTGCCGACAACCAGCCAGTCGTCTTGATCCAGGTTTACGAGGGAGAGCGTGCCATGACAAAGGACAACAACTTGTTGGGCAAGTTTGAGCTTACTGGCATTCCCCCAGCTCCTCGTGGCGTTCCTCAAATTGAGGTCTCCTTTGAATTGGATGCCAATGGTATCTTGAAGGTTTCCGCTGCTGACAAGGGCACTGGAAAGTCTGAGAGTATCACCATCACCAACGAGCGAGGTCGTCTTTCCCAGGATGAGATTGACCGCATGGTTGCTGAGGCTGAGAAGTTTGCCGATGAGGACAAGGCCAACCGTGAGCGTATTGAGGCCAGAAACGGTCTTGAGAACTACGCTTTCACTATCAAAAATCAGGCCAACGAGGAGGAGGGTCTCGGTAGCAAGATTACCGATGACGAGAAGGAGACCCTTCTCAACGCTGTTAAGGAGGCCACTGACTGGCTTGACGAGAATGGAAGCACTGCTACCACTGAAGACTTTGATGAGCAGAAGGAGAAACTCAGCTCGGTCGCCTATCCTATCACCAGCAAGAGTAAGTTTTATCGTTGAATTTGTAGAAAGACATGTGAATGCGATGCTAACATTGTTCTAGTGTATGAGGGTGCAGGTGGTTCTGACGATGACGATAGCATCCCTGACCATGGGGAACTATAAGCGTGATGGTTTGATGTTTTTGTTTTTTTCCGGTTTATATAAAATTTCTTGCGGGCTGAGGAGGTGTTAGGCCCGGCTAGTGTTAGATGGAGGAGCTATGATTCCTCGCCTTGTATGTAAAAACAGCGGTTTTTCCTTATGTTAAAGGGGTTTGTTTGAATACACGTTTTATGACTGGTTGAGTTCATGTAGATGAGTGATGATATGTGAATGTGACTATGGTGCGTGTCGTGGCACAAGTGCTACTGTATCGTAAATTTACTTGTTAATACCGCTACGGAGCCCGAGCCGTTCTAAGAGATGAGATCGTGATCTATAAGTAGCATGCCACTTTTGTGGGCTAGTGGGGAATGCGTTAGGCTGTTAGGCAAGTGCTCGTGTGCTCCGTTACCTTCTTCGCACCACCCACCCACTCATCTTGAACTATCCAAGCTGTGTGTGGCTGTTAGGCTGCGGGTACGAGTGTGATACCTGGCACGAACGATGCCGAAAAGTCACTACGTCCCCTTCGCTCATCCGCTCAGAGCTGGTGAACGTGGAAACCGATGATGTTTTGCGGGAGTCCTCACCAAAGCACCAGTATTCTCGGCTTGCGGAGGCGAAGACATGCGAGTAGAGATTCCTTGCAGTCCTCTAGTGGGGAGAGGGGGCAGGCACAGTATGATACTGGTATTGCTTTTTCACAATTTCCGATTCCTTCAACCTGGTGGCGGGGTAGTGACCTTTTGTAAATCTGATAGGTTAGGTTTGAACTTGATGTTGTGCGGTGAGTGTGGGTTAGGTGGTAATAGGAGTGAGGGAGGAAGTGAGTGATGAGTTGTGTACACTGTATGTACATGGTGGACAATGAATGTCTTTGGCGATATTGTACAATTCCGCAAGGAATTATTGTGGTATTGGCAGTGGGATTCAAGGGGGAACGGCGGTGTATAGTTTGCTATCGCTTTGGATCATGCGGAGCGCGGTATATGGCACTAATATTTTATCGGCGGGGATTTTGTGGGGTTGATTTAGGAGGTGGCTGCCCCGGAGGCTTACCCAGGATCTTGTAGTGTATTGGGTAGAGGTGGGAAGGGGTAGGAGCAGTGTACTCGTACTGTATTAAAGGCCCCCTTGGGGGGCTATTCCGTGAGGGGGTGCTATCGGTATATTGTCGGGTGCATGAGGACTTTTTGCTTTTTTGTTTGCATGGGTAATATTTACTACAGCTACAGTAGGAATTAAGTGTGATAGGCGTGGTGGAATCCCTACGACACCTTCATCTCCATCTAAAACCTACCACCCACCATCTATCTATTCTTACCCACATGTTAACGTACCGTCTTCTGGAAAACTCCCGTGTAGCAAATCCATGGATTGCTCTAGAAAACATATCATGAGCTCCCCCCTTCGATCCATCCCCCAATTCACTAATCAAACGCAACGCGACAAAAGATAGGTGGTCATAAAAGACATGTAAGAGAAACGCAGCAGAAAAAGAAACAAGAAACATCTCGTAAACTAATCCCCACTTGAACCTAACTTACTACCCTGCTACTGTAATCCACGAATATCATAGCTAAACAATTGTATCATACGCCCTGTCTTGTCTTGCCCTACTATTCCGCCCGGCCTAGTCTGCTTGCCGCTCTGTATTTTCGCAAGCATGATGATAATGGTTCAGTCATGGGTGGCTGATTCGAGCTCGAGTAAAAGTAATGAAATGCAAAGTAATGAAGAAAGAAAAAGAAAAGGTCAAGTTCACGTCAAATATTCCTTCGTATCGTAAGCAGTTTAGTAGAAGGTGATATTCTCCTTCCTCCGTTCCCGCATGACAAATTCGTTATAGCCGTAGAGACAAGAAACTAAAAAGGTATTCAAAAAGAAGACAAAGGAGAAAAAGAAGGGAAAAATTATATAAACGGCCCTCCGCCTGCCATGGCCGTGATATCACAATGCTCCCCAATAACACCAAAGTCTCTCTCTCCTCTGTGCTCGCTGATGGGCCCTTCAATGTCATAGCTTTCCATGAGCACGTGCTCCCGGCTATTCACTGCGAATCCAGATTTGGGTTCCCATGTCGCCTCTGAGGTGGAACGCCCTAACCATTTTATTTGGTAGATTTCTGTTTGTTGATCTGGCGGTGGGGGTGGGGCAGCTGATGGCCGAGGGGGTAGGGGTGCTGGAGAGGCGGGGGCTGGAGACGAGGAGGTGGCAGTGGGTAAGGGAGGGCATGGGTGAATGGCTTTTCCAAGGATCTTCTCCATAATCCATTCTTTCTCGCCGACAAGGATTTCGTCTTCTTGGGGGGGTTCGGGTTCCGTTGTTGGATCTGTGAGCTCTGGGGTTGGTGGCGGAGGGGGTGGATCGGTGGGGGAGTATGCTGAGAGTATGCGTGTATCTGACCCGTAGTCTTCCTCAATTCGTGCTCTCGTCACCCATTTCTTGTCCGGAACGTCTACGAATGTGACGAGGTAAAGGTTTATGTCCTTTGCCGGGTCGATTGACCTATGGTTGATGATTCCCCTAACTTTGTGGTCAAACTTAGTATGCCTTGTTTCGCATTTGGTAGTCTTTTTTGGCCAGCAATCCGTGCAGTAAAAGTTGTCTTGGCAGACTTTACAATCGCAAGCGCACTTTTCCAATGCTGCTTCCTCCACTTCTGATTCTGTGCCGTCGTCCGATGACGGGGGTGCGTGGAGGGAGTCAAGTCTGCAATCAGCGCAGACGTCGTTTCCGCAGGTCAGACAGGATTTTATCCCTGCTTTTCCTTCCGCTGGATCGCCGCAGCCGATAGGAGCTGACGGCGCGTCGGAGGATGAGCAGAACACCTTCTCGCAGCCGCCACGACACCTCCGGGACCCTGACAACTCGTGCTTAATGCAGATCTGTTTGCCACAACAGTCACAGTGAGCCCAAGAGATGGACGTCATGCAGCTTCCACAGAGAATATCGGCAGAATTAGGAGTAACGGTCTGACAGCAGGGCTGCAGGAAATGCACAACGGGATTAGTTTCGGTAGCGCTGGGGACAGTGGGTTGATAAAAGGTAGGCGCAAGAGGGATGTTAGTCGGGGCACCGGGAACCGGAAGGTCCAGCTGGATTAAAGTAGCGAGAACGACTTGAAATTGGGGTCCATTTCCATTCCCGTTTCCATTCGCATTCACACCTATTTGGGGGGCCATAGTTGCCATCGCCGATATTCCCGCAGTCGTGGGGTTCGGCCACGGACCCTCGGGGGCCATAAGTGGAGGCAGAACACCAGGGGCTCCGTTCGGAACAGTCTCGGCAGGGGCAATAGGTCCGGCTGGTCTATCATAAGCGCAACTGTGGCAAATAGCCTTCTTGCAGTTTGAACAAGTCATCTGGTAAACGCATGCTTCGCAGCGGTCCAGTATCCGAGCCTCGCAGTTGTCACAAGTGAAAAGCCCCTCTGTCTCCTCCCACTTTCGACGTTGTTGAAGCTCGTGCGGAGATAGCAGTGCGAGTGTTGGATTCCCCTGGCTTGCCTCCGGATCCTGAACTCGCCACCTCTTGTCGAACGGAACACAGTACTTCTCCTTTCCCCTTCGTAAAATTTCCTTCCGCCTCGGGCATCTCAGTTTAGGCGTCGGGCACAATCCCAGGTCGGTCCATATCCCAAGCTTCTCGGCGAGTGTAGTAAGATATCTGCTCGGTTCGTCGCCATCGGCAGGCTTCCTGTCAATCAGAAATGGTTTTCTGCGTACCCCTCGCGCCTTGTAGACGTATAGACTCTTGAGTGCCCGCTTTGGGGGGATTGGTGTTGAAACTGAATGAGGCTCGACAATGTCTTGGTAGACGAGATAAGGGACGATATGGTGCTTTATTGAAACCTTCCGACAGCCGCGCACAGAAAGATGCTCCAGAGTGCCAGCGCACCTGGTCATCAGTGGGCCGAAGAGGAATAGACCTGTTACCGCCGTCCAATCTAAGGTAAGCGAAGTGATTCTCGTCTCCAGAGATAGTGAGGAGATAAACTTGTCGAGGTTGTAGATGGTCCCCAGATGATAGGTGTCGAACCCGGGAGCTTCGTACGCGCTCAGCCTGAAATCGAAGTGAGAGTAAAACGGAGGGTATCTAAGTAGTAGATGGCGGAGGTAGGTCGACGTTTGGGCGAGTTTCAACTTGCTCGGGGTCGGGAGGTGCTTCACGAGACATTCAAGAATTGGTGTGTAAACTGCTAGCATCACCTCCAGTGGAGAGAGCTGATCGTGTATAGGTAGTTTCTGTCCCATTTCTTCATCGGAGATACTAGGTCTCATTTCCAGCACTGGCATTTTAGTAGTGGAGTTTTTGGCGTACTATACTATCGATGGAAGAATCGTCAGTCCTCTGGTTTTCGCTTGCTGATGAGGGGTGGGAAGAACCTTTTCTCTTTTTTTCTCCCTTGATTCAAAAGGAGAGGAGTCCGATAGGTGGACGGACAGTAAAGAAGGAAAAAAGGCCAGAAGCGAGAACTCCGAGCCTCGCGGTTTAGAGAAAATAGTGATAAGACAACAAATTGACGATGAAAGGATAAGGGTTCAAGCTCTGTACGCAGAAAGGGGGGGTACGTTCGGGAGAAGAAGACAGAGGAGAGATTTGTTATGAGGTGATGTTGGCCGGGTAGAGTAACTTACAGCACTGTACGTAGGAGATTGAGCTACGACATGCTGCGGTGCCGTACTAGTATGCTACCGTACCATCAATCTGCTTGTACGGCAGTATTTGTACCATACCTAGTACTGTACAGTACTCGTACAGTACACAAGCCACACTCGGCCTGTGGACAGGACCAAAACTTGAGCGGAAGAAGATTTGCCCCTCAACAATTTTTTCTTTACTCCTGTTTTGCGTATTTTGTAGTTTATATTTCAAACTACCATAGGATTTTTCTCCCAGCTACTACTACGGTATTAAGCTACCTGCTACTCAGCTCTCATTCATCAAGTGATCCATCCAGCCCTTGTTATATAGTTGTGGGCATCATGAAATACCTTTATGAAATAAATTTTTACAATTTAATGGCAGAATACCTGTACAGTACTGCACAGTACAGTACAGGCCACAAGCACTTGTGTACTGGTATGATACCGTATTTTCATTCCATCCGCTGCCAACAAGTCTGCAGGGATACTAACCCCCAGCCCTGCTTAAGAGGTAAATTATGTTGTTGACCCTGCCTCTTCTCCAAACGTTATTCCACTTGATCCTACTGTTTCTTCCGAAAATTTTTGCCAACTTCGTTGTAGAGTATTTATGGATATTATGGGTTCCTGGTAAGTTATGCTGCCACAACGGCTCTATGCATAGTTTATTCAAAGATCGTGAAACTCTGATTTAGACAATACTCCTCCAATCTCGCGCAAACCAAAGCTGAGATTCTCTAGCCATATTTCTTTTTCCATTTCTCTTCGGGCCGGAGGAATAATGTGTTTCTGCTTATGAACATAGCATACTAATTCCTGCATCTTCGCACTTCACTTGCGGTAAAGTGACCGCAACACCTCAAGTGAACACTAGGAATGCTCTTTGCCACTTAATAGTTCTCATCAGATATCACTCGTGCGACACGGCATTTTAGTCGACAATCGAGCTTTGGGACAGTGGTTGGGATCGTCTTGGTGTCATCGATTAAAATCTCCTGCTGATGCCTGCTGGTCTTGGTGAGTGCACAATATCATTTGGTTTGGGAGTGTTGTAGGACTTATTTGTCCCCCCGGGTTAGGTTTTCGTGGCAAACTTTGTGGGGTGGGCGGGGGGCCGAAAGATAATAGACCTCAAGATTTATTCAAGTTGTGTGATATTGATATTAACTACCTAGAGCAGTATGGTAATCTATTCTACTACACCTGCCGCCACAGTCTTCCCACCTAGCCTCAGAACAAGCTTATTCCCCTTTTCCACTGGAATTCCCGCGCATAAGGTAACCTCCACCTTGATCCTTGCCAACATGCCAGGGGCGATATGCCGGGGTTTCTTCTTGAGCGTCTTACCGGTAGTCCTATCCATGCTCTCCAGTAAGGAAACCACTCTTCCGCTTGCATTCAATCTCCCGCGATGGATGCCCACTAGCATTGGTGTGATGGTCTCGAATGAAAGAATTTTGAGATCGAAGGAGTTGAGTGGAACGATTGGTGAATCCGGGGAGCACAGCACGTCTCCGGGTTTTAGGTGGATTATATCTATGCCTGAGAGATGGAGAGTAACGTTGTGCCCCGCCACTGCCCACTCAGAGCTCTGCTCATTTATCTCTATGTCCTTAACCGTTGCGGATTCCTCCGACGGCAGTGCGAGAAGCACGTCGGCAATTTGGAGACCTCCAGCTTCGATCCGGCCTGATATGCTTACAGGGTTTTGTATCCCCCCGCGAAAAACATCGCTGATGGTAATTCGAAGGGGAGAGCTGATAGCCCGTGATTGTGGTTTTGAAGACTCGAGTGCCTGGACGAGTGTCGGCCCGTTATACCAAGGTAACTTGTCGCGCGCATTATGAACGATATTCGCTCCAGTTAGTCCACTGCAAGGAATGAAACTCGTCGAGTTTGAATTAAACCCGGCACTGGACAAGAAGTGGCCTATTTGCTGTGTTATCTCAATATATCGATCGTGATCCCAGCTAACCGCATCAAGTTTATTCACTGCCACTATTATTCTGCTGACGCCTATCGCGCGGGCCAGGAGTGTGTGTTCTCTTGTCTGCCCATTGCTTTGAAAGCCAGATTCAAAGGCACCCGTCGAGGCATCAAGAACCAATACGGCAAAGTCGGCTTGGGAGGCACCTGCTATCATGTTGGGTACAAAGTCACGGTGACCAGGTGCATCCAGAATGGTAAAATTTGTAGAGGAAGTGGAGAAGTGATTTGTTGCAATGTCCATTGTCACACCTCTAGACCTGGTTAGTTTTTGCTAAATAAAATACGACGGGAATCGTACCTTGATCGCTCCTCATTTGTCTGATCTAGTACCCAGGCAAAATGGAAGGAGGACTTCCCAATCCTTTCTGCTTCCGCCTTGAATCTCTGGATTGTACGTTCGTCTATTACACCGCAATCATAAAGGAGCCTTCCCATTAATGTGCTCTTCCCAGCGTCCACATGGCCTATAAGGTTAGTAATAAATTCATTGGAAGGATGTGGATGGAAAGCACCTATTACAACAAAGTTTGCATTCTCTTTCGTTGTGGCATTCTTGAATTTCTCTAAAACATCAATCTTCTTTCTGGCCTTAACAGGCGTGTTGTCGATGGCCATCGCCTGGACGGCGGCCTCTATCTTCTCGGCGGGTTTATCTGTCTTCTTTTTTGCATTATTCAAACCTAGGCTCGTTAGAGCTCCGTACCTAAATAGTGGGTTGATTTGTAAGGTGAACCTTTACTACTACTCTGGGCGGCCATCACTATATCATCAGGGCTAGGCTCCGAGAAAGCTTTGGCTTGTGCCACCGTTGGGGCACCTGAAATAGCGAATGTCTCCTGGTTAGTAGGGTTCATCTTAATAGTCGAGATCCTCTCCCCGAAAAACGACAGTGCAAAACTGGATGGGGAGCCGAGAAGGCTTGTGAATTGGGGCATATAAATAGACTTGTCATTAAGAATTGGAGGAAATGTCTGGGGCTCTTCTGGGTGGCCAAGGCCTTGGCTAGAGGCTGTGGCGGCATTCTCCGGGTCTGCTTCGGACTGCGGATTCGGAATTATAATTTGTTTGGTCTTTTGCTTTGTCTCTTGTTTACTCTCTTGTGTTGTTGGGGGAGGCAGAGGCTTGGGCATAGGCATAGGTTTTCGGGCCGGTGTCTTTGGTGCCAGTCGTGCCAACAGAGACACTGATGTCTTCTCTTCTCCGTCTTGTTTCTTTTCCACAGCCGTTTTCTCATTCCTCGCCTTAGCTAATGCCGCCAGTTTGGACATCTTGCCCGATCCGCCGAGTAACCCTCCCCGGGGATAAATACTCTCAGCAATTATCTCTCCTCGTCGGTGTTCAGGTATATCTCCCCACGGGCAATCCCGAAAAATACCAAGCTCTGTCGCCGTCCTTTTTTCCAAGCCATGGCCTTGACCAATCCCTGAGAAGTTGCCTGGGAGATTAGTTTTAGGCGATGCACAAAAGTGCTCATGTGCCGTATATGAAGATGACGAAGGCAAAACTTCTGAAGTACCTTTTTGAGCTTTCTGCGTAAACTGTGATTGGGCCTTCTTTTTTGACTTCTTGGCTGGCGCATGATGGCCTGGTGGTCATTAGTGTCGTCCAGTGAGCACAAAGAGGGTGGGGCGTACTCAAAATGTAATTAATAGTCTTGCTGACGTCGAAGTAGTAGTACCATAGCGATTCTTCAATCTCCTTATCTGTGACAGAAATTCTAGCGCGTTCCAGGGCTCCCCGAACTTGGACCAGGCCCTCCTGTAATTGTCCTAACCTGTGAGCTATAGATTTGTCTCACTATCCAGGAAAGTGTCCTCACTTTCATCAGATGCGCTAATATCTATGAACCATCAGTAAATAATAGTAGGTAGACATAGGTCGGGGTATCGCACCATTAGACCCCCCTCCATCGAAGTCATCGAGTTCTTTTCCTGATAGTGAGCTTATGTTCTGTAGTTTGCAACCGGTCTTGGGATGGTTCGTACCTGCGTATGGGTCAAGATTTCGAATATTCTTGTGTCGCGACATCCTTTATTTCCTTATTGTTGGGGATGGGAGGAGATTATCAAATGGCGATGGCTACTAATGAGCTGGTCTTTGGCGGGGCCTTTGACGGGTGTTTGGTGGAGTGATGCGAGAGGTTGAATTAGAGAAGAGGTGTGCCTTGTGTTGCCTCGCCACCCGCTTGTCTTGACTAGGGCCCGTTTGTGTACAACCGTTCCGTCCCGCCGCAAGTACAGTACAAAGTGACTGTTTCAAAGCAGAAAGACGAGCCCTTTGTACTAATAGTACTCGAGTACTCGAGTGATGGGGAGGGCACAACAGAACAGTTGCATACCCAGATTGGTTTGGGTTTTTGACCGGGTAGCTCGGCGGCGGACAGGTTAGGGCGGCAGCGGGACAAGCTGTGTGCTCACAAGCCTAGCATGGGTACAAGGCGTTAGGCTTCGACGATCTAAGTTGGCCGATTGTCCTTCGAAAAATAATTTTCCTTATGATACTCAAGTATATGACAAACAATTGTGTTTCTCCTGGCTAATTTGAAAACTTTCCCGTTGGTAAACTCTCTACAGTGCTGATTTCTTTAGGAAATAGCTTTCGAGCCAAAGAGTGATCCGGCGGCCACGGTACCGCTAGATTTTGGCTCACCGAATTGACTACAGTATTACATCACTCAGTCTGTCGGAGCGTCCAAGGAAGGGTAGAATAGGTCTCGGTTTGATGTATTGCCAGTTAAGGGGGGATACTTTCTTGAACTGGTTGTTTTCTTGGTCGGATCTCTTGATTATATAGCACACGGTAGCAAGGGAGATTAATGATAGAGTGAGACCCCATGACTTTTGGAGCCTGCAACCTAAAAACAAATTCCCATACCCGAACAAAGGAATGTAGGCTGCCTATTTATAATGTCGAGTGGAAAGAGTGAGAAGTATGATATGATACTAAGTATCATAGCCATGGACTTATTGCAGCTATGCTGGATTTTCAACCCTACGGATTGTGCGCGGTTCTTCTGCTTGGGCCCTTGCAGTCTGTATATTGTTGTCCCTAGGCTTTCATGACTTCCAGCCATCACCACAAGCAGTGAATGTCCTGAGTTATTGAACTAGCGGGCGGAAAGGACTACAGGTGTTATAAAGCATGTGTGCTTCATAATCGGAAATCCTCCTCCGAACGATGGGGATTTTGCAGGAAGACTCAGGATATGAGGGAAATGCGATTCTGGACGAACTGGATTGTTGGGGTCTGACTCTGTATGCGATATCGCATTTTGTCTTCATTGGTATCACAGCTTTCAAACTGTTTACTTGACCCAACATCCTGACCAAATATCGCCCATGCCATGGTTAAATTCTTTTCCGATTCTATACGATCTTTGTGAAACCGATGCCTAAGGGTGGTTCCAGCGCTTGCAGTATTGTTAATGTCATACCTCACCCCATTGCAAATGTTTGCATCCTCTCCGCGCCCTCATGGCATCCCTACCTATCCCCTCAACATTGGACAGCTCATCTCACCTGTTTCGCTCCAACTAGTTCTCTGGTACGCATAATTTTAACGTTGTGGTCGTCAGTCGGTTCACCAATATGTTCAACGGTGACTGCCAGACATTTCAAGCAGTCATGATACTACCTACGACAACCAGAGTTTTTAGGCGAATAATTCATAGCTTCTTCAGTGGATATCCACTTTGGATCTCTAGAAGAGATATCAAGGTGTAGCCTGTAATCGGATTGAAAGCATAGGGAAGTGGATATTGGAGGCACCAGGATTTCCAGTATGGAGGCAGGAAGAGAATGACAGATCAGTTGGTCCAACCCAATTCTGTTCTTGAGCTCCGAGAGTAGGGAAAACATTTACTAGGTAGGTTGGTAATAACTCATGCACTGGACTCATCATCGACTAGTTTTGGTTCTAGCTTTCTGCCTACCGATTGTTAATTCGATGGGGTTTCCAGACCTAGCATGGGAGTGGCCAATTTGTTCTGTGATTATCGTAGTCAGAATAAACGCAATACAGGTGCGGGACTGGTGGGAGGCATACTTAAGTAATTTGTGTATGCCGTACTAGATGTACACTAGGATTTCATAAATGTATTTCAAGCAGCCAAGGAGCAGCTTCCCCATCAACTCCTAAAATTGCTCAAGTGTTAGGTGGAAGCCAACTCTAGTACACGTTGAGGATTGAGGAGACTTAGGCCAGTATCTTGGGCACAGATGGAGATTGACTAGGAACGTTTGATATTGTTGCCTTCATTTATGACTACTAAGAACTTGTGAAGAGGACAGTAAAAATATTGTAATAAAGATTTGTGATAAAACAATTTATATTGTTAAGATCTCTTCTCCACTACTTAATGATGTCTGTAAAGCTTAGAATGTACTTCAATTTTTATATCTCATGTAAGAGTATTCGCGGACTACTTCTAATGATTGTACAACTAGGCATCTTTTTCAAATCTGTATGCAATAATCAATGGTTTTAACAAGTGCAAATACTAGGGAACCCTGAGTGTAGGGATCCTACTGCTTGTATATTATAAGTTCTTCAATAGGTGTAATGAGACTCTATGGAGAACTATTACAGTTAGCCAAATCTATGTCCATACTGGTATCAAGAGACCACTGCTGTAGGAATGGTAGTAGATCAGAGTCTACTGAGTAGAGGTACTATTGGTTAGGTACCTCAGTTGGACGTACTCTACCATACTAAGAAGAATATAGGTACTAGTAACGAGCAGTAACCACCCTACTGGGTAGGGTAATCCAAGTAGTCAATTTGGAAGTTACCCTGAATTGCTTGATAGTGAGTCTAGGTAGAGTTATCCTACTCTATAGAGTAACTTAGGGTGCTGTTATTCAATCTTCAGACTAGAATTACCCTGCCTTAGACCATAGGTTACACTGCTATGGAGTCAAGTTACCCTATCTTGAAAGTAACTTGTTATGCAGGGCTTCTGTTAGGAATACTGGTATGTGATACCTAGGAACCACCATAGGTAGAGTAACCCCACTCGGAATCAGAATCTCTTGTCTCCAACATCTACCTCTGGCCCTCTTATGGGGCCGGCACATCATTGTTCATATCTACAGTCACTCGGCAGAAGTGTTCGTGAAACTGGTCTCAGATGACTAAGCAACCTCATCAAAATACTACCTTTCAATGAGGTGTAAAGTTGATCATGACCATTCATCCTATCGCAACTATGACCATTCACAAATCTACATCCACCGAGGCCTCCTTTACTTAATTAATTAATCTATAAATTTCCTCTACCTTTTTTACCAATGATTAAGCGTTCTGGAAATATGAAGTATGCTGCAAAAAAAGACCCCCACCTAAAACCACCTGGAGAGAAATGAGCCTTGCAGAGAAGGACATAATAATTGCCTTTTTCTACTGCCTCCGGAACATTGCCTTGGTAGCTCAAATTATTAGACGCCTATGGATAACAGTTAAGAGCTTTCTTGTTCGGGTATGTGAATGCTAATCTCTTGAAAATCTCCCTCGCCCTGGTCACACCCCCATTTTGAGTGATCAACAGCGTTGTACAATTATACAGGCAGCCAAGTCCAACTGGAAAATGATCAGATGCAACTTCAGGGATCGCTATGCACCCAGTGTTTCTCTTGATACTGGTAACTCTTTGTGCTACTCAGAGTGACTGGATATGATTACTTACTAAATTTGCCTGCATAGGGAACCAAGTACTCAGAGAAGCAAATATTAAAACATGAATAACCAAGTCAAGACCTAGGCTAAAGCCTAATTATGTGGCTAAGAGATTGAGATGGGCTACAGCTCATAGAGACTGGACAGCTGAGGATTTTGAAAGGGTGATTTGGAGTGATGAGTGCAGTGTAGAGAAATTCAAGAATCCAAAGCACCAATGGGTATTCAGAGAACCTGCAGAGAAGTGGTTGGCTGATTGTATACACCCAAAGGAGAAGGATAAGGGAATCTCACTTATGGTTTGGGGGTGCTTTTGGGGTAAAAGAAAAGGTCTATTAGTTCCTATTACTCAAACTATCAATAAGACCAGGTATGTTAGACTTTTAAGAAGATATCTTTTTCCTGTTATTCATCAAATGATTTCCTTTGGTATACAACTTGAAGATGTTCTTTTTCAGCAAGATAATGCTTCTGTTCATAAGGCATATAGTGTTATGGATTGGTTGGAGAGAAACAGTATTGAGGTTGTGGACCACTCCCTTATTCTCCTGATTTAAATCCTATTGAGCATGTATGGGTTGAGCTTAAAAAGCGATTGCACTAGCAGTATCCAAGGATTACAGATACTTCAGGAGGAAAAGAGTCTGTTAGGAGAAGACTTGCACATGTATTACTATTAGTTTGGGAGACAATTCCTGAGGAGTTTTTTGAGAAGTTGTGGAAATCAATACCTGATAGAGTGGCTGCAGTTTTAGAAGTAAGGGGAGGTTATACAAAATATTAGCTAGATTAATTTATGGCAGGTCAATTGACTGTTGAATGTTGAGAGGTATCAGTGGTTATTGATCGTGAACTTGAATTCAGCTCCGCGCATGCCCATTGACAACCCCACCGGCACTGCCCTACCATATAGCGTAACCGCAATTAAATATTGTCTCAGATCATGAACACTTCTACCGAGTGACTGTATATAGAGGTAGTAACAGACTTAGAAGGTCAGTGGGGCCTATCTCCCACCCGTGGTGCCCTGCCTCCTCCCGCTATTCTCAGAAACCAAACCAAACTAACCAAACAAACTCTACAAAGCTCAGTACACGTGACCCAAACAAGTCCAACCCTGTGGTCCCAACCCGCTATCCACACAGGTGGCCGCCAGCCAGCCGCTCTGTCAGAGAACTTTGCAGCACTCAGCAGCTTCGTCCAACAGCTCAATCTGGACTGTAAACACTTAATTAGACCTAGTCCAACCTGACACAGTGCCGACTGGTACTTGCAGGTACCTCTTTTCCCAACCAGCCCCCCTTAAGCCCCACACACCAGACGCTACAGAGCCCATCCAGCCCCCTCAGCCTGTCAGATAGATCTACCATCTCCCAGCTATAGGACAGCCTATACCTAGCCCAATCAGGCAGCTACTAGTCTTGGCCACACCAACAGAGCCCCAGCCCCCAGCATTGTGTAGCTGAGGAGGGCCCACCAGTCAT